TTTCTGCATCTATTGATATGATCCTGAGATTTTTTTCTTTTTTTAGCCTCTTGATATGATGGATTACATCAATTGATTTCTAAATGTTGAACCAATCTTGCATGCCTGGGATAATCCCACTTGGTCATGGTGTAGAATTATTTTTATACATTGTTGGATTTATTTGATAATATTTTGTTGAAGTTTTTGCATTATATTCATGAGATATAGATGTCTGTAGTTTTCCTTTCTTGTAGTGTTTGCCTGGCTTTGGTATTACAGTAATGCTGCCTTCATAGAATGAGTTAGGAAGTATTTCCTCACCTTCTGTCCTCTGAAAGAGATTGTGGAGAATTGGTATAATTTCTCCCTTCAATGTTTGGTAAAATTCACCAGCAAACCCATCTGGGCTTGGTGCTATCTGTTTGGGAAGGTTATTAATTATTGATTTAATTTCTTTAATAGATATAAGCCTATTCAGGCTATTCTTTCTTGTGTGAGTTTTGGCAGCTTGTGTCTTCAAGGAAGATATCATTTTGATTATCCAATTTTGGGGCATAAAGTTATACATAATATTTCTTTATTATTCTTTTGCTGTCCATGGGGTCTGTAGTGATGTCCTCTCTTTCATTTCTGATATAAATAATTAATATCTTTTTTTTCTTAGAAATTCTTCATCTTTTCAAAGAATCAGCTTCTGATTTCCTTAATTTTCTCTATTGACTTCCTATTTTCAAGTTGATTTCTGCTCTAATTCTTATGATTTCTTCTGCTTATTTTGGATTTAATTTGCTCTTCTTTTTCTAGTTTTCTAATGTAGAAATTAGATTGATTTTAGATCTTTCTTCTTTTCTAATATATACAATCAATGCTGTAAATTTCCCTCTAAGCACTGCTTTTATTACATTCCACAAATTGGTAAGTTGTATTTTCATTTTCATTTAGTTCAAAATATTTCTTTAGCTTCTCCAGATTTCTTCTTTGACTCACGTTATTTAGAAGTGCGTTGTTTACTTATTTGGGGATTTTCCACTAATCTTTCTGTTACTGATTTCTAATTTCATTCCATTGTGGTATGAGAGCAAATATTCTCTGATTGCTATTCTCTTAAATTTTAGGTGTGTTTTGTGTCCCAGAATGTAGTCTAACTACCTGTATTTACTTCTCCATTTTTCCAATGTTGGGAGCAGCAGTTTGCCCTGGGACCTCACCTCTCTTATGAATCCAAGAAGAGTTGTTGATTTTTAATTCTGTTCAGCTTTTTACCTGTTGTTAGAATGGAGGGGCATCTTCTAAGCTCCTTATAAGCAGAACCAGAAACCAGAAGTTGAGATAAACATTTTTATTCCTGGAACATTCTATAATACACAGCTTGTACTTTTAGAATCAGGGGGAACCATGGCTATGCTGAAATTCTAAGGTTATAAATTGTTCTCAAGGTCTGAAGAAGCTCTGGTATATTTTTTAACAATTTTATTGAAGAAAATTTTATTGAGATATAACTTACATATCATAAAATTGACCCACTTTAAGTATATAGTTAATGATTTCAAGTATATTTATTGAGTTATACAACCATCATCATAATACCATAATCTAGTAGTAGAGCATTTTCATTATCCCAATAAGATTTCTAATGCCCATTTATGGCTAATCTCCTTTTCTTCCCTCAGGCCCAGAAAATCACTAACCTACTTTTTCTATAGATTTGCCTTTATTGGACATTGCACATAAATGGAATCATATACTAGATGGTTTTTTATGTCTGCCTTCTCTTACTTAGCGTAATGTTTTTAGGTTCATCCACATTGCAGCTGTTGGGTATTTTGTACCTTCTTATTGATGAGCAGTATTCCATTGTATGAATATACCAAATTTTGTTGTCCATTCACCAGTTGATAGACATAAGGGTTATTTCCCATTTGGGCTATTATGGATAATGCTGCAGTGAACATTCATGTGCAAGTCTTTGTGTCGACATATGTTTTCATTTCTCTTGGGTATATACCAATATGTGGAATTGTTAAATCCTTTGATAAATTTATATTTCACTTTAAAAAAATTGTCAAAGTGTTTTCCAAAGTAGCTGTACTATTTTACCTTCCCATTAGCAATGAATGAAGGTTCTAGTTTCTCTACATCCTCTCCAACATTTGTTATTGTCAGTCTTTATGGATATAGCCATTCTCATGGGTGTGAAGTGGTATCTCACTGGTTTTAATTTACATTTCCCTAATGACTAATCATGTTGAGTTCTCTGGTATATTTTGATTAAAAAAATAAGAGAAAAAATTTTAATTTGATTAAAAATAAAGATCAGGGCGTCTGGGTGGCACAGTTGGTTAAGCATCTGACTCTTGGTTTTGGTTCAGGTCGTGATCTCAGGGTCATGCCCCACATCAGGCTCCATGCTCAGCACAGAGTCTGCTTGAGATTCTCTCTCCCTCTCCCTCTGCTCCTCCCACTTGCATTCTCTCTCTCTCTAAAAAATAAATAAATAAACCTCTTTAAATAAATAAATAAATACTATTGATTTAAAGGAAGAAATGGGGCCTTGCTTCGTATAATATGATGGGGTCTGTTCATTAGGAATGCGTCAAGGGAGAAGAACAGTTTTTGCCAAATGCTCATTGTTATTTGTGCAATTTTATGCTGATGAACTTTTAAAAACAAGATTTCTTAAGCTAAAGTCAAATACAGAGTCCAACAATTACTTAGTTAAATTCAAGAAAAGCTCACTTTTTCACAGCTAAAGTAAAAGCAGGTGGATAAGAAGTTTATCCTGCACAAATAGTTCTGATTACTCCATTGGCTGTGAATCCTTAGCCTTTCAAAACATTAAAAGATTTTTATAAATCCCACAGGCCTGCCAGAGGCTTTAACTAGTTTTATGTCACCCTTCCTTTCAAGAATTATATGAGATAATCAGTAATTAGTAAATGATATGATTCTATAATATTAAAGTTTTACGGAAAGTATTTTTGAGGCATTTGGTGGATTATGGGAAAAAATAGTCATTAGAATTTGTGCTAGGCCGTGTGTGAGGGATTTACACATATAAGTCCATCTTTTACCCAAACTTGGTCATTCTTCTGAGCTAGAAATGTCTATTATTTTCTTTAGTCTGTCTATGGAGAGGAGCACCAGCAAGCCCACATATGTTGGCGTATGGTTAGCTAGTGATTTTTTTCTTTGTGTTCACAGTTGACAAAATGGAGCCCACAGTGCAACTTGACAGTGGTAGTTTTAACCAGCCTTTTAATTAAGGACATTTAATATCACCCTGAGTGTGTATCCACCTCCCTGCTTCCCTTTCCCAGTCCTAGGACTGTAACCAAATTGAGCAATTTTGTTGATGAAACTAACAATGTTAGTAATATCCAACAAATTCCACCTTTACATATTAGGTCCTTAAATACTGTGTCGATACTAATGGAATGCTCCAGGTATTTGGTTTCTAACAGCATGTTGTCAAGAAAGCAAGTGTAGGATTGTGAGCATCACTGTTTTCAGGATCAGAGATGCTCAAGTTTGGAAGTATTCTTTTAGGTCTTCTAATCATTTAGTCCACCTACTGTGTGTCTGTCATAATATAACTCTCAGCCGTATTTCTGATTGAGTTTCCTTTTCCTAGACTGAGATAAGATGATCTCCTACCTACCCATCTCTGAATTTCTTGAAACTCTGAGTTTCTTGAAATGAAGACTCCTGAACGCAAAACAATGTTGGAAGGTGAAGACAAACTTTTTAACTTTTTCTGAGAACTATGGTCTTAAATTGTATGTACACAAAAGAGGAGTATTTAGATCAAAGATGAACAACACTTAACCTAGAGTCCATGGACACCATAGAGGGATCCAAGATATATGCACTGTTGGCTGGCAGAACTGTCTTTATGGATGTTTTTCTGAAGATAGGGCCCAGAGCTTTCATGAGATTTTTCAAAGTGCCTCAAAAATATGAAGTGTCTTGAAGAGAGAGTTGCTAACCATTGGAATAGATGACAGAGCAGGTCTTTTCCTGACAGATTTTTAAGAATAAGGCATGTCATGGTTTGTTTGTTTATTAGGTAAAAATTATTCTATGAATATTAAGTTTCTTGACTGTGATAATAGTATGATGGTTATGTAAGAGAACATTCTTACTCTTAGGTAAGTGCTGAAGTATTTAAGGATATACTGTTATGATATCTGTAATGTACTCCCAAAAGTTCAGCAAAGAAGTGTATATAAGTATCAGTATAAAGAGACAGAGATAAAGCTACATGTTAACAAATGTGGCAAAACCTTAACAACTGATGCATCTGGGAAAGAGTAAGTGAATATTGATTGTGCTATCCCTTCAACTTCTTTAGAGATAAAAAAAAAAAAATGAAGTTGTAAATAAAAGGATAAGGCATTCTTTATCTACCTTACTTTCACAATTATAGGTAAAGAAAGAGTGCTATGATCGTATTTTATAGATGGCTAAAACCAGGCAGAAAAAGATTTGGAAAACCAGCGAGTATCATCCCAAAGTACATTTGAGCCATAACCACACGCAGACAACATGGTTCGTTCACACTAAAATCACTGTGGTGCCCGCTGTAGTGCTGACTTTTACGTTCACAGGCAAAATCTATTGCAGACACCTCCTAGCTGATGTTATGCTTGAACAGTAAAGTGCACAGGGAACAGATGGCATCTTGTGACCTTCTTAATAACAGCCTTGGCTGCCAATGTTCCTTTGTGTCCAGTCTCTGCAGGGAATTTGGAAACTGTTGCCTTACACTTGAATATGTTCTGGCAAACTCGTTTAACCATTTATTAGACTGGTTCCTAATTTAACACAGTCAGAGAGAGCACAACAAGATTCCCAACTCCTGAAAGGGACATTGGTATTTCCAGGGCCCATTCCTGGGATTCTTTGGGGGTGAGCTGGCCATCACTCAGCATAGCTGTCATGTTTAATGTGGTGAGGCCGTCAATCCCAGGCAAACTGCTTCTCAGGCTATCTGGATTTATTGGTGGCCCATGTGAGATTTTTTTTTTTCTTTCTATAGTTTAAAAGAAATGCACTTCCCCCATCAAGGCATGCAAATGAGCCGGGAAACAGACTAACTCCCAGTATCACAAGGTCCTTCTGCTGTGACAGCTCACACCAGGAGGGAACGTGGGAACCCTGGGGTGAGTGAGGCTTGTTCTAAGTCACCCTGCTCCCTCCATTGCACACCCTGGGCAGCCAGTGGCTATCGAGCTCCAGGCTCCGCAGTGAGAGGAGGAGGGAGGAGGATGAGGGCACGAGGTGATTAGGTGAGGGAGCGGTCTGCCAGCCTGGCCCTCCTTGAGTCCTCGACTATCCCACACGGGCAGCTTTCCTCTGGCAACAGTGGAAGGCAAACAAGGAGGGCCCTAAGAAAAGACAATGAAGACATTCGCACCAAAGCCCAAGGAGTCTCCTTCCCCCAACAGAATGAATCTGGAAGGGCTGTACCAGGAGAAAAATGGTACAATCAGTCCCTGTCAGGCAACAGGTGTGGGGGGTGGGTGGGGAAAGGGCAGAAAGGCCACTGCCGGTGCATATGGTAGGTCTGAAAAGCATGGGATCTCAGGGTAGAAGCAGCTCAGCTGACAGGCACGGGACTGTGTAGAAGAGAGACAAGAACCAGGTTTCTGTTTGCGGGGGCCGGGGAGGCTTCATTCCAGGGTTTCTCCGGGTGGCTGAGCGGGAGGTGAGACTCCTTCCTGTTGGCCCCACTTATGCACTTCCAAGGATGCCTTGGAGCAGGGAGGTTCTCCCTGAGGCCTCTACCTGGGAGAAGCTGGCCTGGCTGTGAAGGAGCCTTGACTGGGGAGCTGTGAGTCTCTCCTGGGAAAGCAGGGGGCAGCTTGCCTGATTTGGCTGCTGTTTACCCTTCTCTCATTCCATCCCAGGGCCAGCCTACCGCCCCTTTCTCAGGTAGACTAGAAAACCGGTGAAAAAAGCCTCTTCTGTTGGGACATGCCCTAACCCATCTGCTTCCACCTTCATTCTGGGGCCCCAGCCTCCAGGACCAATAAGCTTTGGAAATGACCCCAAAACCGGAAGAGGGACATATATCCTTGGGACATTATGGAAACAAGATTAGCAAAGACTGGAAGCCACAAGACACCAACATTACCAAGAAATGGAAGGTAATTCCCCTGCTTTAGGCCCTACAGGTACCACTTACTCTTCTCTCTCCTCTCTCCGTCTCATCCCTGGTCACGCTTGCCATATCTTGTTTATACTACTGCATGTGTATTGTCAAATTTGGGGTTTGCCTCGCTGTATCTCCTTCAGCCCACTGCAGATCTGGGGTGGGGGATGGAGGAGTGTATATAACTAAAATCATGTATACAAGCAACAGTGCCAGATGCTATTTATTTACTTCATGTTTAAAGTCTTACCACTTTAGGTGCTACAACACAGGATTCTAAAGACTGCCATTGGAAACAAGTTTTTGAAATGTTGCTTCTGTAAAAACTACATTCTAATTTTTAAAAGCACTCTGTAAACTCCCTTTTGGAAGACAAATGGCAAATAAGAAGCTCCCTGTATAAGAGATATGTTGCGGGGGAGGGAAGTCTACAATGGAAGGCCATAAAAACTACTGTCCAACACACATTGGGCATCTGGTTTATGTTGAGCCCTGTCCCAGGTGCTGGAGATACAGAAGCAAACAGGACAGACAAGTCTCTGCTCTCATGAAGCTTATATTCTAGAAAAGGAAAGAGAAAATAAACAAGTGAACTAATACAATAGTACATAAAAAGCAAGCAAGGCGCCAAGATAAAAATTAAGAGGGAAAGAGTGTGAAGAACTTACTTTAAATATGGTGGGCTGGGAAGGCCCCTCTGAAGACATGATGTTTAAATTCACACCTGAAGAACACAGCTCAGCAGAGCTGGGATAATTGCATTCCAACAAAGAGAACATATGTGCAAAGGCCCTGAGGTGGGAAATGGCTTAGCATTTTCAAGTTACTAAAAGAAGGCAATGTAACTGGAATAGCACGTGAGCGAAAGGGAGGAGCCATGCAATGAAACCAGAAAGATAGGCAGGGTCCCATTCGTGCAAGACTTTATACAGATTTTGGTAAGGAATTAGAATTTTATCACAAGTGTGATAGGAAACAGAGAAGTGATATCATCCTGTTTATGCTTTAAGCTCTCCATGTGTGAAGACATGACTTATAGGGTAGTCTGGTGAGTTCTTACTGCTTTTAGAAGTCTTCCAAGGTTTGGAGAAGGCTTCACAGAATAAAAGTGAGAGTAAAAGAATAGGTAAAACAAGAAGGATGTTAAACATGGACACAAATACTCTTGAACTAACATGACAAACTGTCTTCATGGTGCCCTCTTAAAATATTAATGTTCTCCTAAACACTGTCACCCTTATAAGAGGCTATATACCATACAAACAGTTCCCGTTCCAGAGAGCTGCTTCAGGGACTTGGAATTTGTTATGGGTGGTCAGGGAATATCCCAAGGAGATCTCACACATGTTGTCACATCTGGGCTTTGATGTGGTCATACTATATAAAACCTCTTCCCTAGTATATATTATGTCTCCTGGACTGGCAAGAATCAAAGAGGCCAGTGTACCCTTTTGCAAGGGTACCTTGGGCACATCCTAGAGGGGTATGGGGCTAGGACACAGGTGTGGTGCTAAGAACAAGAGAAGGGAAAGAGAGAGCTGATGAGTGCTGTCCTATAGTCTGTATTCCACCACGGAATAAATTGTTTCCGCCAGAGAGAAGCTTTAGTTTAAAAAAAGATTTGCTAGTGTCTGCCTTAGAGTGTAAATGGAGAGAAAGTGGAATTGTTCAACAATTTCTGTTTGTTGTACTGCAGTCTTATAATGCTTGATCTTTATAAGCCCACACAGATATAGATGATTAGTTTATAACAAAGAAGCCAAGAGGGAAAAGGACAGTCTCTTCAATAAATGGTGTTGGGAAAACTGGCAACCACACACAACAGAATAAAACTAGCCCACTCTCTTATACTATACACAAAAATTACCTCAAAATGGATTAAAGACTTGAATGTAAAACCTGAAGCCATAAAACTCCTAGGTGAAAACATAGGTGGTAAACTCCTTGACGTTGGTCCTAGTGATACTTCTTGGATCTGCTTCCAAAGGCAAGAGAAGCAAAAGCAAAAATAAACAAATGGGACCACATCAAATTAAAAAGCTTCTGCACAGTGAAGGAAACCATCAACAAAACAAAAATGCAGCCTACTGAATGGGAGAAGATATTTGCAAATGATATATCCAATAAGCGATTAATATCCAACATATATAAAGAACTCATGCAACCTAACAACAACAACAACAACAACAAAAACCCCCAAACAACCCAATTAAATAATGGGCAGAAGATCTGAATAGACATTTTCCAAAGAAGACATACGGATAACCAATATGTACATGAAAAGATGCTCAACATCACTAGTCAGGGAAATGCAGATCAAAACCACAATGAGATATCACCTCACACCTGTTAGAATGGTCATCATCAAAAAAGACAAGAACAACAAGTGTTGGCAAGGATGTAGAGAAAAAGGAACACTTGTGCACTGTTAGTGGGAATGTAAACTGGTGCAGCCACTATGGAGACCAGTATGGATATTCTTCAAAAAATTAAAAATAGAACTACCATATGATCCAGCTATTCCACTTCTGGGTATTTATCTGAAGAACAATGAAAACACAAATTTGAAAAGGTATATGCACACCTATGTCTATTGCAGCATTATTTATAATAGCCAAGATATGGAAACAACCTGAGTATCCATTGATGGATTATCCACTGAATGGAAAAAGAAGATGTGGTATTTATACAGTGGATACTACTCAGCCATAACAGGCAGTGAAATCTTGCCATTTGTGACAATATGGACGTAAGTGAAATAAGTCAGATGGAGAAAAACAAATACAATATGATTTCACTTCTGTGTGGAATCTAAACGACAAAACAGACAAAGCAAAACAAAAACAAACTCATAGATACAGAGAATAGATTGGTGATTACCAGAGGGAAAGGGAAATGGGGGTGGGCAAAATGAGTAAAGGGGCCCAATTGTATGGTGATGGGAGATAACGAGGCATATGGCAGTGATCACGTTGTAGTACATACAAATATCAAATTATAATGTTGTACACCTGAAACTTATATACTAATTATATGCCAATTTTACTTCAATAAGAAAAAAAGATTTTAACTTTCAGTAGCTATCGCTTTGTTCTTCTTTGAACATGAGAGATGAGCACGTGATAGACCATAGGAGGGAAAGCCATAACCAAATCAAACACCTGGAAAGAAAACTAATAGTAATGCAAAAGGAAAACCACCTTAGTGTAGGTAGAACAAATAAGACTGAATGAACTCTTTGAGAGCTTGTTTGGAGGTTCTAGCAGGGGAGCGCAGCTACTCCTATACCCTTGACCGAAGAACGGTCCTCCTCTATCGGGGAAGGTTGTCCTCTTCGACCGAGCGCGCAGCTTCGGGAGGGACGCACATGGAGCTGTGAGGGAGGAAGGGGACACCCGCCTAGCCAGCCAGATCAGCCGAATCAACCCTGGCGATCAATGGGGTGACAGATGTCGCAGCCAGATCGCCCTCACATCCTGAATGAACTCTTTGAAAGGCAGTTGTGAAAAAGAATTTGAGAATACATTGCCTATGATGATCCTAAATCACACTTAAGAACAGCCCATCTGATTTGTGTATCTACGAAGGGATATATATCTACAAAGAGACAATCAACAGACCCATGTTCACTTGACTTCATGTTTTAACTCCTGTTAGTGGCTTCTAGCACAATTACACTTGATAATCCAAAAATTAAGCATGGAAATTGAAAAGAAGCACTAGAAGAAGTTATAACAAGAAGTTATTACTTGGCCAGATTAAGTAATTCTACCTTGATGTATTGTCACCTCTTAAGGAAGAGAGGAGTCATCAGTTAAGTTAAAATGACCATGGGAGGAGAGTGAAAAAGGCAACATGGGCCAAGTCCCTTAAGAAGTCATCATCATGGGGGCGCCTGGGTGGCTCAGACGGTTAAGCGGCGGCCTTCAGCTCAGGTCATGATCCCAGGGTCCTGGGATCGAATCCCACGTTGAGCTCCCTGCTCAGCAGGGAGCCTGTTTCTTTCTCTGCCCCTCCCTCCTGCTCTGCTCTCTCTTGCGATCTCTCTCTCTCTCAAATAAATAAATAAAATTAAAAAAAAAAAAAGAAGTCATCATCATGATATACCCTGATGTTGTCTCTACCTTTCCTCCCACCAGTATTGTATGATAACAATAGCAGAGGAGGTAGGAAAATACATTAATACTATCATGTAGGAAATGATTGCTTTTGCTGCTCATGTTACCACCCTTCAAGAACTTCCACCCATCCAGCTCTGGGACTGCTCATCTACCAGCACTCATGGGCCACCGGTGATTAGCATGGTTAATCAGCATTCTGAGGGGCACAGATAGCAGCATAAATGCAATAGGCCTGGACTCTGTGCCACTCAGATCAGATGCACTGTCACCTTAACTTACTGTGAAGGATGTGATCGGGCTGTTTAATTCCCCATGCCCTAGCTCAGACTTGTCTCCCAGCTATGCAGTGTGTTTTAATTTTCTGTTCATTACTGCAAAGGGGAAAAAGAAAGTCTTTCCTGATTTTAGCAATAGCACAAATGGTTAGCTGCTCTGTCCTCTTGCCTCAACAAACCATAGAAGAACACAGAAAACCCACCTCAAATGCATTATTCTGATAAAGCCAGATTTTATTAGGAAAGCCAGCAGAAAAGTGACTGCCCAGGCAGCAATGAAAAACTTTTATCTCCATTATTTAGGAAAACCCATAAGGCTGCACGATACTTCATTTTACCGTCCACCCTCCCCACCCAACACATGCATGCACGTTAAAGCTTTAAAAACAACAGCAAAACAAATGACCACAATATTTTATAAAGTACTAAAAAGTCCTAATTTGAGATGTCAATCATGAGTCTTATTAAACCTTCGAAGATGGAACCCTGAGAGGTGGAAGTTATATGGAAAAAATCTATTGTGTTTCTTCCTCAAAATCAGCATGTGTGGCGGATGACCAGTTGTCCCCTTCCCTAGTGTGCCGTTTTGTCACCAGGAAGTGGCTGCCCAGCCCGGGAACCCACTTCTGAACGCTCTGGAATCTAGGTGGAGCCTTGTGGCGGCTTGTGCCCTTGGAATGTGGGCATGAGAGCCACGGGTCGTTTCCAGGCTCAAGTGGTAGGAAAGCAGGTGTGCCTTCCCCACCCTTTATCTCGATGCAAGCAAAGGGCTCTGGCGCCCCAGGGATGGTGGAACGCCAAGCTAAAGGACATCTGTGTCCCTGAATCATCATGTGGAATGTCTGCCTGCAAAACACCCACCTTGGCCTTTATATAAAGGAAAAAAATGAACTTCTATTGTGTTAAGCAACTAGAATTTAAGATTTGTATTCTAGCAGCTAGTGTTATTCTAGTTTAATCAAAACAGGGTGGAGGTGGTTGTAGGTTAGTAAATACAGTTTACTAGTTGGTGGTTTATAGCTTTGGTTTCTCTTGTTACTTTTTTGATGTACCCAGTAAAGTTCAGATGACATTACCTAAAAGCTCCAAACTCTGGGACTTGACTAATATGGAGGAGGACGTTTTGGCCCTGGAATAATTCATTTTTAAGAGTGACAGATCCAGGGGCGCCTGGGTGGCTCAGTCGTTAAGCGTCTGCCTTCAGCTCGGGTCATGATCCCAGAGTCCTGGGATCGAGCCCCACATCAGGCTCCTTGCTCAGTGGGGAATCTGCTTCTCCCTCTCCTGCTCCCCCTGCTTGTGTTTCCTCTCTCGCTGTGTCTCTCTCTGTCAAATAAATAAAATCTTTAAAAAAAAAAAGAGTGACAGATCCAGAGGGCAACACACTCGTTTTCTTGCTAAAGACACCTTGCCTTTACTAGGCATAATGGAAACGGATGGACTACAGTCAAGAACCTACGCGTTACAAAGACAGCAACCCTGGCAAAAAGGCTGTGCTCACAGCTGACAGTTGCACTTACCCTTCGCATCTGTAGTCTCTCGGGAGCCAGCCCTGCAGACTGTGGGATTGAAGGCAGAATCTGGTGATGATATCCTGAAGCAAGCAGAAGAAACAAGTTATGAGTTCATGGGTCTATAAGCCACAGCCTGTGGACTTAGAGGGATTTTCAGTCATCTTCTCATTTGACTTCATAAACTTTTGCTTCTTCTCCTCTCCTCTTTTCACGCTCCCAACCATAGCCCCGAACTCACATTAAATCAACCCGACTTGGACTTTCTCATCGTCCTTAGTGATTTGTTTGTTCCGTTTTGTCATAAAAGGGTAAAATGTTCAGCTTTTATACATGAAAATCTCAAACACTGAGTTCATAATTGTTTTAACAGGATTTGTGAGTCTTTCTCTAGGGAGCTGTTTTCAGAATAAGTGAAGTGCTATGAACGGAACAGGAAATATCACAGCAAGTGTGTTGATTTCCCAGGAAAGTGTAGGACTGAATAGCAGAGGAGTAATTCGGGAACGTACAGATGCTGTGTCTATTCTTCGAAACACATCTCTATCTCGGTTTCCCCGAATCCAGATACGATACTCTTTTAAGGCAAGCAGGGTCTTGGTGGGAAGCGCAGTTATTTTGTATGGAATGGACAGTCCTCAATTTCTAGTGTGTAGCACATTGTTTTTGGCCTCTGATTAGGGGGACAAGAGGGTCTCCAAGCTCCAGGGACCTGGAACTGTGTGTGTGAAGTAGGGAAAGAGTGGAATTGATGTCAGCCTAGGGAGTCCCAAAATGCGCCTAGACATGCATTCAGCCAACAAACTGGCCCTAATCATTCCTGAGAGAAGGGCTGCTAATCTACTGTGCTTCTTTCTTCTCCCAACCTACAACAGCAGATGAGTCAACAGAGGGTATTAATTTTAAAATGCAGATTTCTGAGCCTGATCCCAGTAATTAATTTTCAATAGGTTTAGGGCAGGTGGTCCGATACAGGTAAGCAGTGGACCAGCTTACTGACTTCTATGGAAATTTTCTTTGCTTCTCTTTATATTTTTTATCACCTAAGCAGACACACCCAAACACTATGATGTGGGCTATTTAAGTATATGGAATTAAACAATATGTATTGCAGCTGGCTCACATTATGTTTGTGACATTACTGCGTGTAACCATAGTTTGTTTATATTCATTGACATTGTATGAATATACCACTGTCTATCCATTCTGTTGTATAGTACTAATTCTACCTTCTGGCCTTTTAGCTTTTTTACTCTTACGAAAAATGCTTCTATAAACATACTTGCATGTACATGTCTCTTGGTGCACATGTGAACGGCATTTCAGCTGTGTATACACTTAGAAGTAGAATTGCTAAGTTTTAGGGTACCCGTAGCATCAACTTTAGATGATAAGACAAACTGGTTTTCTTTTCTTTCTTTTTTTTAAGTAGGCTCCACATCCAGTGTGGAGCCCAGTGTGGGGCTTGAACTCACAACCTGGAGATCAAGGCCTGGGCTGAGATCAAGAGTTGGAGAGTTGGACGCTTAACTGACTGAGCCACCCCAGTACCCCAAGACCAAACTGGTTTTCTAAAGAGTTATATCAATGTCCGTTCCCATCAGCTAGCTGTATATGAGAGATCTCCTTGTTCTACATCCTCACCAACACTTAACATTGATGGTCTTTTTAATTTTAACCTTGCTGGAGGGTTATTTACATGAGTAAGCTTGTTGTGGTTTTAATTTGTGTTTCCTGATTATTTATGCAGTTAAGTACCTTTTGATACATTTATTCATCACTTGGATATCTTGGTTTGTGAATTTTGTTTTTTAAAATCTCTTTCCCATTTTTCTAATGGGTTGTCTTTTTCCTACGAGTTTGTAGGACTTCTTTATACCATATCATATTTACGAGCCCTCTGTCAGTCACTGAGTTAAAAATATCTTCATCCTCCTGTGTCTCACCTTTTCATACCTTTAATGGTGTATTTTTTACCAGAACTTTTTAATTTTAAGGTAGTTCAATTTATCTAACTTCTTCTTTGTGCTTAGTGCTTTCTGTGTTCTGTTGAAGAAATCTTTGCCAACCTCAAGATCATCAAGAAATTCTCTGTCATCTAATGGTTTTATTGTTTTGCTTTTCATACTTAGATCATTAATTCATCTGGACTTAATCTACCTAGAATTGAAAACATGGATTTTCTCTACTGCTCTGCCACCTTTTTCATAAATAAGTGTCCATATATGCACAGGTCTGTTTCTGGGCTCCTTATTCTGTTCCATCAGTCTATTTGTCTATCCTTGTGCCATAATACCATCTTGCTTTAATTACTGAGGCTCTATAGTAAGTTTTGTTATCTGTAGCAATCCTTCTAACCTTGTTTTCTTTTGAGAGTGTCCTATTTCCTGGCCTTGAATCATTTTGCCAAGTTCCACAAAAACACCTATTGGAATTGCATTGAATCTATAGGTCAATTTGTGGAGAACTAATATTTTTACAATTTTCAATCTTCCAATCCAAGAACGTGGTTTACCTCTCCATTTACTTAGATCATCCTTATTTTCTCTCAGTAATGTTCTATAGTTTTTGGTGTGGAGATCTTGCACATCTTCGATTACATTTATTCCTAGAAATTTGACATACTTTAGCAATATAAGTGACATTTATTTATTTATTTATTTATTTTTTAAAGATTTTATTTATTTGACAGAGAGAGAGCACAAGCAGAGGGAGAGAGAGGGAGAAGCAGGCTCCCTGCTGAGTAAGGAGCCCGATGTGGGACTCGATCCCAGGACCCTGGGATCATGACCCAGGCCGAAGGCAGCCGCTTAACCGACTGAGCCACCCAGGCGTCCCTTAAGTGGCATTTTTTTAAAAAATTCATTTTAAAACTTACTTTTAGGCACTAATTTTCTTTTCTCTTCCCTGTTCTAATTTAAACAGTTACAGAAATTCTGTATTGTTACCCTTTCCTTTGTCATAAAATTCATTTATACATTCCTTCAGTTTAAAAACATTTCTCCTCTCTGTTCCACCTGTGTTAGTTTTATATGGCTGTTATAACAAACCAGTGCTCCCTATTTGTCTTGTGGCTTTTGGGAAGACCTGGCCCCGTGCCTCTTCACTTCAGAAGCATGGTCCAACATGTTGCTGCTGCTTCATGAAGGGATTTGTCTCTGTAAGAGACACCCTAGGGCAGTGCTTGCTTTCTTATCTCAACCTTGGACTCCCATGTGGCCTCACTGTTGCTCAGGAGGAATACAAGCCCCCAAAAGATGAAAGCTGTGGTAACTCTGACCGGGCCTTGCAGAATAATCCTGAAGTATTTGGAAAGCAATGATTTTCCTGAAGACCTATGGTCAGTCCTCAAAAATGTTCCACATGCTCTTGAAAAGAATGTATATTCTTCAGTTGGTGGGTTTACTACTCTAGATACGTCACCCAGGACGAGTGTCTTAATCACGTTCAAATTTGGTGTGTTCTTGCTGATTATTTGCTTGTTCCACCAGTGATTGAGAGACGTGGGTTAAAACGTTCAATTATGATTGTGCAATTGCTTATTTCTCCTTTTAGCTCCTCCGGTGTTACCCTTCTTAAATAAAAATTTAACTTGAAAACGCTTTTAGATTAAGAGAATTATTGTGAAGATAGTACAGAGAGTTCTCATATACTCCACACCCAGTTACCCCTATTATTAGCATCTTACATTAGAATGGTATATTTGTAACAATTAATGAACCAATATTGGCACATTATTAACTAGAGTCCATACTTATTCAGATGTTCTCAGTATTTTCCCTAATGTCCTTTTTCTGTTCCAGGATCCCATCTAGGATATGACATTACATTTAGTCATCATGTCTTCTTAGGTTTGTCCTAGTAGTGACAGTTTCTCGGACTTTCCTTGGTTCGATGACCTTGGTTGAGGATTATTGGTCAGGTATTTTGTAGAATGTCCCTCTATTGGGAATTATCTGATGTTTTTTTCATGATTAGATGAGTGTAATGTATTTTGAGGGAGAAAACCACAGAGGTAAAATACTATTCTCATACTAAGGGTGAAGACTTAAGTATGGCTTATCATTGTTGACATTCATTAAACTTGATCAGCTGGCTTGAAGTAGTATTTGTCAGGTTTCCCCACTTTTCACTTCCTATATTCAATGGAAGAAAGTCACTATGCACAGCTCTCACTTAAGTGGTAGTGAGTTATGCCCCACTTCTTTGAGTACAATGTAGCTACATGAATTATGAAAATGTTTTGCATGGGAGATGTGTCCTTTGTCTCTCATTAATGAATTTATTCAATCATTTATTTATAACACTATGGACTTGTGGTTATTTTATACTTTGGGCTATAATCCAATACTACTTTATTTTGTTGCTCAAATTTTCCAGCTTCAGTCATTGGGAGCTCTTTCAGATGGTTCCATCATTGTTTTATTTGTTTTGTTTTGTTGAATCCTTTCTTACTTTCTGGCACTATAAGATACTCCAAACTCATCTTGTATATCTCCTGCTCCAGTCTGAGAATCAGCATTTCTCCAAGACTCTGATCCCATTACTGGAGAATAGTACCGGAAACTAAAATCTGGGTACTCGGTGTGCTTGCTGTTACAAAGTATTGCTCCTCTCAGCTGATGTCCCATGCTGATATGGGCTGCACATAGGACTTTCCTCCAAAGAGTAAGGAAGTACATGTGTGCATACTAATCTATGTATATACACAAACCAATAAATGTTTCTTTACATAACCATCTCTATTTATATTAAGTTATGCATGAGTTCATACTGATGTATTCAATTCTAATCCATTACCACGTGGATCATTCTCACCTTTTAGTTTTGCTTTTCCAAAATATCATATAGTTGAATATGCAATATGTGACTGTCCGACCAGCTTCTTTCAGTTGGGGCTAGGGAGCTAAGATTCATCTATGTCTTTACTTAAAAAAAGAAAGGGGGGGCAGTCCTGGCTGGCTCAGTCAATGGAGCATCCGACTCTTGATCTCAGGGTCATGAGTTGGGCCCCACATTGGGCATGGAGCCTACCTACTTAAAAAAAAAATCCATCCATGTTTTTTTGTGGCTTAATACCTCATTTCCTTTTATTGCTGAATAATATTACACTGTATGGATGTGACACAGTTTTTTTTTTTTTTAATTTATTCACCTATTGAAGGACATTTTGTTTCCTTCCACTTTGGGGCAATTATGAATAAAGTGGCATTAACATTCATGTGCAGGTTTTTGTGTAAACATAAGTTTGCAAATCAGTTAGGTAAATATCTAGGAACATGCTGCTAGATCACCAGCAAGACTATGTTTAGTTTTGTAAGAAAGTGCCACCCCTCTTTTTTTTAACGAAGTTCCCTATTTGTTTCCTTCAAACACAAATGGCTTGTTTCCCTGGTGATTGTTTCCCTCACCAGACTATACGCTCCATGAAGACAAGGGCCGTGTATATGCTTCCAACACTTATGTAGCCCCAGCACCCATCCTAAAAGACCTTACATATAGTAGGATCTTAATAAATATATGATGAATGAATGAATGAATGATTTAATACATAAACAAAGCATCAAGACTTAGAACTTTATACTGAACCATATCCCTGTCTGAGGAATTCCAAAGTGCAACTCTTTTTTTTGATTGATGTACAGTTGACATACAATGTTACATTAGTTTCAGACATCAAAATGCAGCTCTTATTTTAACTTTGGCAGAGAAGTGGGATTGACACTGACAGTCTAAGCTCTGTATCTATACACACTCATCTCCCAGGGCAGCGTCTTTCTTTTCACACGCTGGTAAATTTTACATATTTGCTGTTAAAACTGACTCAGAAACAAATGATTAAGACTTCTCCCAATTTTCTTCTGTCTTTTCACTATATGGGTATTCAATGTACGTGGTGAATAGATAAGGTGAATAAAAGGTATTGTGTTTTGTACACCTTGATGTTTTCCCGACAACACATTTTAAATAATCAGTCATTTTATATTTTATTCAATAGTTCCCCTTTGGACCATTTTGGTTTTATAGCAGTGTAAAAATGTCTGCTTATAGCTTTACAAAATTTTAATCAAACAGTTTTCGTCCAGAACTTAAGACATTTGCCTTGGGGCTAAAATTAACCAAGACAAAGATTAAAAACAAAAGCAAATTTAGAATATAAGCAGTGTTTTCAAAATGAGCTGCATCTGCCCTTCATCTTCATTTATAACATTGACTGGCTTCTTAACCTATAATGGAATAAGCTGTAGTTGTGCCGAGATTATATTTACTTTTCTGAGGTCCCCAAAAACAGACAGACCTCGCAAGCTTTGGGTCTCCTATGGTTTGCAATGTCACAAGGGGCATTGGTCGGAAGGATGCACCTAATGATCACAATCTAAATAGGACACAAATTTATAGTTCTGGACATTTTCACCAGATGTCATATTTCTGCACTTTTTTTTTAGTGATTAAACATTTTTTTCTACTCTGGTGAGTGGATCTGTTTGGATGCCAGATTTCAAACACTATTTTCAGGGAGGACCCTGGCAGTGCTTAAAGATTCCCCCTAATTGGCCAAAATGTACTTCAAAATTCACAGAATTTGCAAAGGGATTTCCAAAATTAACTGAAGTGTCAACATACTTGAGAGCCATTAAAAATGCAGAGACTATAGTTTGTTGGAATAAACTAGACAAGGCATCCAATAGAAAAGTCATTCTGAGATATTTCAGCTTTAAGCACCGTTTTGATGATTTGGAAAGACCTGGAAGGCAATATAATTAATAATTACTAGGGCATTATTTGAGTTATTACTCACATCTCAAGTTGGAGCCAAAAATCCAATTGATTTTCAAATAAATTTCCAGAATTTGGACAAGATATTAGACAATTAATATCCAGAGGGACATATTTCATAACAAGTCCTCATATTTTTCCACATTTCTACTTACGCTTTCACTGAGCTATTTGTGGTTCTCTGAACATGCTTGGGATTAAACACTTCTTTGCCTTTGTGCATATTCTCTCATCCATGCACTATGCTTTTCCTTTCCCCACCTAAGCCAGCTCAGAGGAAACCTGCTTTACTGAGATCTTTCCAGAAACACAATACCCTCCACCCCAGACACTGATAAAATCTCCTTCCTTTGCGACTACTTATTTCTATGGTTTCAGTTACCATATTAAACGAATTAATTTTTTTCTGTGGGCCTATAGAAGACTTAGCTTAAAGTGAACACCCGGAAAATGTCTTTCAGGCCCTCACCGCTTGCCTTTACTGATAGACAACACAAGGTGGGGAAAGAGGAGGATTTAGTCCACTTTCCTTCTGCTCTGAGGGAATTTTTCAACTTCTGAAAGTGGAAAAACTAGACCAGAAACAAAGAGAAATTCTAAGGAGCACCTCTTTGCCGAGCAGACAATACAAAATACCTACAATTTAATCAAATACTCACATTTTTATCTTCACAGGAGTAGGTAGTTATATATAATGTTAGGACTAAAAGAGAATATAATCATAATTTCAGCCGGTAACTGACATTTAGCTCTTCTTCCCGCTGACATTTACACAGGAAAATATACAGAGTTAAAGTCTATGAAGTCTCTCAGGGTCCACAATACCCTCTTCCTCTTAAGAGCATTCTTGTCTATTTATAGCGACATATCCAGGTGCAAATTACAAAGAAATCTTACTGGTTACACTCAGGCCGATGCTGTCCTGCTTTCAAAGAAAATCGGGTGCTCATGGACTTATCCAACGTATCCAGTTGTTTTTTCCGGTAACTGCCTGTGTATGCTGTTACAGATGAGTCCAACCATCTTGTTTCCTTCTGCCAAGATGCTCCAGCCTTGCGTCTGATCAGATCGAACTCTCGAGAGGTGAGAGGGCTAAAGGGCAGAACGATTTGTGGAGTCAAGTAGAAGTGTGACATGGTTATGGATGGCCTGCTCTGGATGCCAACTTTTCAAGCCCTCTGCATAATGGACAATTAATTTCCTTTTGGTCAGCAAGAGGTAATTGACCGGGCTCGCCAAACTTTGCAATTCTGACTCTCACAGAATGCAGAAGCTTAAGTCTCTTGAAGTTGCCAAGCAACAGATCACAGAATTCCACAAATACTAGCCCCCCCCCCCCCCCCCCCCCCGGTAAATTTTAACTAGAAAATGGGTAAGGTATGTAAGTTTCTGGCCTTTGTTCTGAGCAACATGCGCTACAAATGATGGCAAGAAAGCAGGTGGCTACAGCTTTTAGAAATAAAGCCGTGGATCCCAGTGATGCCGCCTCAAGAGGTGGGAACAAGAGATAAAAGAACAGTGCCAAGCATTCACTTCTTCTAAAGACTGGGCTCCCAGGGTCTGGAAGCAAAACGAACCGTTTGTGATGTCAACAAGAGCAGGTGACTCCAACAGCTTCTCCTATGTCACAGAGCAATGGTGCTCGGGCTGGCTGCACACGAAAGTCATCCCAGGAGCTGTTAAAATCAGCAGAAGCTCAGACCTCACCCGCACCCCCAGGCCACCCCCATAGATTCTGATTTAACTGGTCTGGAGTAGGGCCCAGGCACTGGTATATTTTAAAAGCCGACTCCTGGAGAATTCTAAAGACAGCCAGGGTTCAGAATTAAGGTCGTTGAAATATCACTGTGAGCCTTTTTTAGGCTGCGGGGTGATAGTAGTCAATCTTCCATTCACATGATCTCCTCCATCCCTCACTACTAAATACTCTAAATCTGTGTCATTTGTTTGCCTGTCCTTCTCTGCAATAACCAACAATTCACTGACAAACCAACTAGATCTTTCAACATTACCAGCTCTTGGAGCAGGTCTCAACCGTCAGTGCTCATGCACATAACCTGTGGATTTCTTTATAGATGCGGGATGGCATGCCTCGCCTGGATCAGCACCTCTGCCAGGAGATCTATCATCATCATTGAAAAAAACCCATCTCCGTAGGAGTTTAGATCAGCACCTATGGGCCTGTGAACCCTGCAGAGACCGCAGTCCTGCCTTCGCAGACTACGTAGGTGTGAGGAAAAGCCCAGGAATCAGCCTAAGAACATTGTTGTGTGATTCCGATGCAACTAATCCTTGAATACTGGGAATAGTGCTCCAGGAGCTGAATTCAAACAACCCTTTATAGGGAGGCTGACACACTACAGGCCAGGTTTCTTTGAGAATAAAATTATTTATAAATAATTGACAGTATTTAAAATTAGGAGTTTCTTTCCTTAAAACTTTGCAATTTGGAATGTAAGCACCGTCACCCTAGAAGAATTAGCCAGAGGTTTCAGACCCCAGCTGCTTTTTTCCCATGGAATTGGGGCTCCTTAGAGAAATCCAGATCAGATAAGAAGATGGCGATGCAGAGGGAAGGAGGGGCCCAAAACCCCAGCTGCCCAACTCCTTTAAACCCACCCAGTGTCAGGTAATAACTGTGCATGTACTTCAACCGTTAGCCATTCCAGCAAAAATCATGGTTTTAGAGAAATCTCTGCTAGCAATATATATTACTTTGAGACAGGAACATCTATAGAACAGATTGTGAAAGATTATTTGTAGAAAACATTTAAAAATCTTCTTCTTAGGTTGTGTGGCAGTCTACAAACAAATATGTGATAAAATAAGCTCTTTAAAAAATAAATCATGACATAAGTGTACTTTATCATCACATTCCTGTCCTTTATATTATTTTTATTTCTTCTTCCCAAATCAATTATGGTATCACTTTAACAACTATAACCTCAAGAACCAAGAGTGGTGAGGAGTGCCTGGGTGGCTCAGTCGGTTAAGTGTCCGACTCTTGATTTTGGTTCAGGTCATGATCTCAAGGTCATGAGATTGAGCCCCACATCAGGCTTTGCACTCTGCGTGGAGCCTGCTTAAGATTTTCTCTCTCTCCCTCCCCACCCCTCCACACCTCCCCCACTCATACACGTGCACTCTCTCGCTCTCTCAAAAAAAAAAGACTCATATTAGGTTTAGGTGGAATTATAGCTTAGTTCATCAGATGTTGAACAAGTCTGTTAAAAATAAGTCGGACTTCAAATTAGAGAATAAACAGAACAGATAACTGAATTTATTATCATAAGTAATCTGTAAAATCCTAGAATTCTAAAGAACTTCCTACTCATTCTATGTTCTCATTTGATCAGATACTTCACTCCTCTTGGACATTCTCAGTGCTGATTTGTATGGTCTGACTTCCAAGTTGAGAGTCTAAATCCTCTAAAAACCTCCTTTTGGAACTGAATTATGGCAAGCTATGTTGTTCAGTCCCTAGTATTTCAATGTGAAGAAAAAGCTAATCAAGAGCACTAGGACAATGAACTCTGGATTGTGAGTGAGATTTAGTGAAAACAAGCTTCCTGAGTGAGTGACCTCATACTCAATAAAACCAGCAGGTGGCGCACTGGCAGGTGGGTAGGCCTTGACCAGGCTTCCAAGCATAAGCTGATTATTCTAATGAGGTGTTAATAGGTATTAATTAAAAGAGTTACATCTTTAAATAAGTTTAGGATGAGTTGGAATAAACGTGTTTCTTTGCTGTAAGATTTAGAGCCTTTGCTATTTCAATGTGCACTATGAATCTTTCAAAGGGGCCTGGATAATGAGGCACTTCCTAAACTTACCCGACCACAAAACTCCTTTTGTGGGGTGGGAGAGCATCTCTGGGTATTGCCCTTCTATGCAATGGTCCAGGAACTGAAAAAGCTAGTGGTCTCTATAGCTAAGACAATGGCTGGTCTGTAGTCTCTGGAATTTACTAAATATTGACTAGATCTCCAGCTAAACCACGGACAGCCTCACAAGAGGGTAAATCAAGGCAGCATTTTTCTTTTTTAATTGAGATATAACATCAGACCAGAAGGTACACAAAAATACATATGTGTACATCCATGTAACTTCTTGTCCCTTTCCAGTCAAAACAGTAACGCATGCGCGGGTGCGCGCACACACGCACCTGTAACCACAATTCCCATTTCGATCACCACAGACTAGATATGTCAGCTGTATTCTGTGGAGGCAGAAATGTACCGATGCCACTCCAAGACGAAACCAGGAGGAAAACAAGTAGTATAAAGGCCAGAAAAAGCAGCATTCCCTTGAGAAAAAAGATCCCATATGAAGCTAAAGCTTCCAGCTCAGCAAAAATCTGTCTCCTCCCCACAAGGTGCCAAACTGTGATATTTGGATAAGTGTAGCCAACAGCTGAATGAGCATGCATAATGCGTTATAGTTAATAACTGTTTGAGTCTGTCAGTTATAATAATATTAATTCTCAGTCCTTGATCTTGGAATACTTTCTTCATATTTATCGATTCTGTGATTTGGAAATTTTTATTAACTTACTCATCAAAAACCTGGTCTAAATGACACAGGAAACCAGTTGCAACAGGACTAGATGGAAATAAAAGAAGGGTAAAGTGCAAAGGAACAGGAAAATAAAATGGATAAAATTAGCGAGGAGAAGCCTAAAAGGAATGCTCTTTTGTCTTGTCTTTCTGAAATTTATTTTTGGTTATGTTTATTGTTTGAAAACTGAAACTGATTGCAAACAATGTATACACTGTGATCCTGGTTTGTTTAATAAAAATGATATAGGTGTGGGGCGCCTGGGTGGCTCAGATGGTTAAGCGTCTGCCTTCGGCTCAGGTCATGATCTCAGGGTCCTGGGATCGAGTTCCGCGTCGGACTCCCTGCTCCTTGGGAGCCTGCTTCTCCCTCTGCCTCTCTCTCTCTCTCTCTCTCTCTGTCTCTCATGAATAAATAAATAAAATCTTAAAAAAAAAATTATATAGGTGTGTATATGTATTTATAAGAAAAGGCTTAGGGGGCTATATATAAAAAATGTTAATACTTACAGCTGAGTGGGAGGATTACATGTGATTTTTATATTCTACATTGCTTTCTTTATTGTCTAAACTTTTTACAATGCATGTATGTAACTCATAATCAGAGCCCAGATGTTATTTCACAAAAACTAAAACAAAGGGAATACATCCATATATAATCAACCTCCAAATCTTGCAAAAATTCTCTTTCAGGTTTACAGTGATTTTTCTCTTCTGCTTCTCTCTAGAGCCCAGGCCATTAAAACAAACAAAGAAACAAACAACTCTAGAGCAAAGAGATTGGAGTCAATTCAATCAAATATGATTAAGACTTCTCTGTATAATTCTATTTGGATGACACTCTTCATCTTAAATAGAACATATTATCAGGATAATCAAAAGTAATTTAGAAAAATATCCCAAAGGCATTTCAAACTTCTATTCTTGCTTAAGTGACCTGAGTCTTAGGGGAGTCTCATGTATACAATCATAACTGGTGACAAGAGAAGCAAATTACTATGTTCTAGACCCTTTCCTCAGCCCTTCACACACAATCCTTTAATCCGCACAACGCTATGATGAAAGTACAGGTTTATCTCCACTTTACAGATGAGGAAACCAGTCCACAGAATGTTAGTCCACTGTCACACTGCGAGGAAATGGCAGAACTAGCGCTGAAAGTCATGCAGTCTGAGACCTGTTGAGACTATTTTAGACTACTCAAAACTACATCTCTAATGAGCTTTACTCTCTTCACCTGTTGTCATCTACCCATCTCTGCCCAGCACCCCCTTCTTGCCCATTGTCTGGTCCCACACCTGCTGACTGCTTCCCTTCTCATGAGTCCCGTCCGAAAGCATCCACAACAACCTGATATTACTGACTTTCGTATTCAAAGTAACTTCTAATCAGTGACCCAATAAATGTACCCTGAAAAGAAAGACCAAAAAAGCATAGTCTTCACTTTTTTAAATGAACTATCTTATGTTCCTAAGCTGAGATCATAGACTTGTTTATAAGGAAGGAAGTGAACAGCCTCCTGTTACATTTAAATACCTTGAAGATTCTGAAGTCAAGCTTAAGAACTATACATCAAATCTTGTCAATTAAGTATTAACATGCAGTGGGGCGCCTGGGTGTCTCAGTCGGTTAAGTGTCCGACTCTTGGTTTTGGCTCAGGTCATGATCTCAGGCTCGTGGGATTGAGCCCTGTGGGCAGGCTCCGCGCTCAGCAAGAAGTCGGCTTGTCTCTTCTCTTGGTTCCTCCTGCCCCAGCACCCCAGCCCCGCTCTAAGTAAATAAGTAAGTAAATAAATAAATAAAATCTTTAAAAAGATATTAACATGCAAAACCCGCAGAGCCTCAGAAATATTCCAAGCTAAGAAGAGGGCTTTTAGGAAGATATCAGCTATGCATATTTCCTAACTAGGGTTCTAAAATATTCTCTTTTAGGGGTGCCTGGGTGGCTCAGTCATTAAGCGTCTGCGTTCGGCTCAGGTCATGGTCCCAGGGTCCTGGGATTGAGCCCAGCATCGGGCTCCCTGCTCGGCGGGAAGCCTGCTTCTCCCTCTCCCCCTCCCCCGGCTTGTGTTCCCTCTCTCACTGTGTCTCTCTCTGTCAAATAAAATAAAATAAAATCTTAAAAAAAAAAATACTCTTTGTTAAAAAGAAATTAATCTTAGTGGATTCTAGTTCCTAAATGTTTGGAAAAAAATAATAAGTAGATGAACTCACAGCTTAAAAAAAAAAATTGAATCCTACCTGGAAGGTCATGACAGGCATAGGGGAGAGGTACAAAATAAATTTACTAAAATGATCGGTTAATAAAAGCATGTTGGTGAACGAAGACCGGAAGAGAAATCCTTTTAAGATTTAACTGACAGATCTTCTTCCCTCCCTGTTCAACAAAGGGAGTTTATTTGCTTATGTTGTTGACTTAGTCAAATATGAATCCGAGTTCTACTTCCTTTTCCCTGTTACTAAATCCAACTACGTGCTGATTTGGGGTCCTCAGGTTTAGAGATACACAGGAAGGAATGTACACAAGATCTGAGAACTGACTACCCTAGAACAATCAAGATTAATACTCCAGCCCACCTCCTTTGGACACTTAATCTGCATGTTGGCAGATTTGTAATGTGCACAAGTATTTACATGCCTGTTTCTGCATTTCTGGGGTTATGCTTTGAGTTAAGAGACGTACAATATTTAGTCCTACAGAAATGTGGGTATCCCGACAGATGCAATTTTAGGGTATGCTGGATAATTGGAATAATTCAGTATATTCCTGCCCTTTGATTTAATTCCTGCCCATTCTTTGTAGAGGCTGTTCAACATATGGCTTTGTCTCTCTGTCTCTGTGGCTATATACAAGCTTTACTCAGAATTTGTTCATTTATCTATTCATTCAGGGAATATTTATTGTGCACCCACTTGGGCCCCTAAACAACACCATTTATTATTTCATGCCATATTGATTTATTCCCTACAGATACACTGATATGCACTACAGCTATGGCATTCTTCCTGTCACTCTGGTTAGGATTCGTTCACTGATCAAGAGAGATTTCAGTAGCCAACTATGTAAAAAGGCAGCGTAAACCTCATACAAATTTAGTTGGGTTCACCCTCTAAATACTGGAAAGTTGGGAGGTGGGGGGGATGGGTGAAATAGATGGTGGGGAATAAGGAGTGCACTTGTGATGAGCACCCAGTGATGTACGGAGGTGTTGAATCACTATCTTGTACACTGAAACTAATATTTCACTGTATGGTAACTAACTGGAATTTAAATAAAACAATAATAAAAATAAATAAATGTTGGAAAGTAGGTAGACCATGTGCAGTGAAGTAACTTTTGTTCTTTAGAGATACAAATACCTATTATAATTTCTCGGCAAATTATTTTGAGCTAAAAATTTGTATTGTCAATGCCATATGATAGGACTTGATGCCAGAGAAGCTTAGTACACATTATAAAAAGCTGACTAGAACCAGAGAGAGTTTTATAAGGGCAGAACACTTTTTATATACTCTAGCCCTTCCCCACACTCTGGTGAGGATCAGACATTATCTCCTCAGGGCAGAGAAGGCTAGACTGGCCAGACATTTCAGATGGCTTTCCTGTTGCTCACGAGGCTAATCTCCTTAGAAGGCCTTCTTTCCTGAATCCCTCTTAAAGGACCCAACCTCCCAGACTTGTGAAATTTAGGTCCTTTGGGATAATCAAAGCTAATACTGAATTCATTGCCAAGGGATGATAGAAATTGTGGAACACCAACAGTTCACAAGAGAAACATGAGGAGTCTTTGGTGTTCCTTTTGTTTTATGGGTTTTCAAGGTATTGAGGGAAGGCAGATTTGGGAGGTCAAAGAACATATTATTTGGGGTGGGGAGGAGTGTAATAAATATTTTCGAAGAAGTTTCCCAATTTGAGTTAGACTCAGACAGCGGTTGACAATAGTTTCCTCGGGCTGCCCTAACAGAGTACCACAGACCGGGTGGCTTAAAACAACGGAAATTTACTGTCTCACAGTTCTGGAGGCCAGGAGTCTGAAATCAAGGTGTCAGCAGGGCCCATGCTCCATCTGAATGCTCCCTCACCTCTTCCCAGCATCTGGTGGTTTTCTGGAAATCTTTGGCACTCTTGGGTGTGCAGCTGCATCACACCAATCTCTGCCTCCACCATCACACAGTGTTCTTCCTGTGTGTCTTTGTCTTCACATGACTCTCTTCTTATAAGGACATCAGTCATATTGGATTGAGGCCCATCCAACTCTAACATGACCTCAGCCTAGCTAATCACATCTGCAGCAACCTGATTTCCAAATAGGATCACATTCTGAGATCCTGGGGATCAGCACTTCAACATATCTTTTTAGGTGGCAAATCCAAACTATAACAATGATGCGATATGATGGATACTATGTGGACAACGAAGTGTTCTGAGATTCACTGAGTAAAATAGTCCCTATTTCCTCTGTTATTCCAAGAGCCCCAAGTGACTAAAACTAGTCGGGAAAGAAAATTTCCAGAACCAGCAATATCACTGGTTTTAAAAAGAGGTGGTGTGATTTCTAAAATTCTTATGCTACATAAAGATGTAGTACGTGTAGCAGATCTCTGCTAAACAATGACATTTCTAGAATTAAGTAAACTGATTACTAAGGATGAGCAGGAATAATTTAAAAGATTATGGTCAGCAGGCAATATATTTTTCTTAACAGCTTGTTTCTAATCCATATAATAGAGATCACTGAGTAAAAAAGTAAGGTAGGTTTGAGTCTGAGTCATACTGGCTACTTAAGCAAGTCACCTCACCCCTCTGAAACTCATTTTCCACGTAAGTTATATATATCATTTGTTCTGTGGTAGAAGTATACATCACTGCCTGGCCCACCCCAAAACCCCAAGAAACCGTGCCTTACAAACTGTTCTTGATGAAAAAGGAACCGTATTTATACTTTATTCCACCCGCCTGAAACACAGGTTGAGGTGGACAAATGATTCTGGGAAACTCACCCGTAGGTTTCCTTCACTGACATCTCTTGCCTCCAAAAGATGAACAGGCCAATCACATTTCTATCAGGAATTTGAAATTGGGAACCAAGAAACTATGAAGTATTAATGTGGGAAATAGAGCTATGAAATAGTGAGATAAAACTGGAATAGAAAGGGCCTTGGTGGTCTGTGTGAGACAACAGTTATGGAAAAGTGAAGTCTAGAATGGTACAGAAAAAAAAAGAGAAGCGGAAGTACCTGAGACTTTCTAGCTCATGTATGAGAGTTGCCTTCATTCTTTTTGTCTTTGGTCCTCTGCTGTTTGAATACGATACAGCTATATGTGGGTTTTTCTTTTCGTTTTTGGCATTTATCCTGTTCAGTGTTCTCTGAGCTTCCTAAATCTGTGGTTTGGTATCCACCATTAACTTCGGAGAGTTCTCAGGTATTATTGCTTGAAACATCTCTTCTCTCTCTTCTCCTTTTAGTATTCCAATGGCTTGTAAATTGTATCTTTCAAAATTGTTCTTGAATGTTCTGGGTCTTTTCATCCTT